CCTGTGGAGGCGCAGTGAACATCAGGCAGTCCTCTGCTATCTCAGCCTCTCACACACACAGTCACAATCGAAGCCAACGCGGGCCGCTATCTGGTTGCAGACTCCTTCTGCCGGGGAGGCGACCACGCCTTTGAGTCCGACCCGCTTACCGCCGGCTGGAAAGGAACGTGGCTTTGCGCGCTCCCTTACCTGTTCTTTTTCGCAAACGACAGCAGGAGAAGTTGTCTGGAGCTGGGTAAGTCGCCGGCGACCCGACCTGGCCCGGGATGGGCCAACGTCAGCATGGTGTGTGTGTGTGGAACCAGTTGTCTCCAGGCGAGCACAATGCTCAACATGCGCCTGTCTTGTCCAAGCCTTGCCTTAAAACCCGCCCATGCAGGTTTTCTGAATTGTAGGTGTCGGTAAACGTCCCTACCAACTTCGCAAACTCTGGCCAGACGTGTTCACTGGCTACTGACTGGGCTCCGCAAGCACCGTATCCCGCCTGCTTGGAAAATCAACACCTCTCGCGCAGCGGTGACTGAAGTGACAGCTGATCTCTCGAACAGGACACTTCAGCGAAGCACTGCAGCACAACGCCCGCTGATTTACTCGGGCTCGGGAACGGTTCCGGCGTAATCCAGCTTCGCCAAAGCTTTGCCAGGGTTGGGAATTGGGGCGCGCGCCTTGAACACACGTTGACACTTTGAACTTGCAGCGGGCCCAGTTCAAAGTGTTGTTGACACTCAAGGCAACTTGCAGTCTCCCAAAGGGTAAACAATCTTGAGGTGGCAGGACTCCACGAAGGGAGTCGCTTAGTACAAGCCCTTGAAATGTGACTGGGCATGGCCGTTCTCTGCGCGGCGCCATTGCCGCTGCTCTCGGGTAGTATGATGTTGTCTTGCGAGGGCTTACGTGAAACGGCGCGGGCCCAGGCAACGGTTTGATCCATGAATCTTCGGCTTTTGCGAGGGTACGACCCCAGTATGACCCCGCTGACCAGTGGAGGAGATGAAGCGAAGTTGACGTCACACGCCCCGTAGTCAATCGCACCTTGTCTTTGTTCAGCGCCTTTTGTGTTCCTTTTTCCTTGTCTTGAAGTCAGTCTCATCGCATTTTGGGTTGTGTTCAGCACCGTGTTTTCTGGCCTTGTGTTGTTGCTTTTATCTTTGTTGATCGCTTGGCTATCCTTACCAGAGCCCCCGTTTAGCAAGCGGGTCGTTGGGTAGCACGCGCGCCATCCACCAGCAGCTTTGTCCAGAAAACCCAAGTGAAAGCTCAGAAGAACTTCCACGACGCTCTGAGGACGATCGTCAGCACTATGTGGGCATGGCAACGGTATGGCTGCTGAACTGCCCGCAAGTCCATTGTCAAATTGTTGTTCTACCAGGCAGTGTTGCTGAACAGGCCTGCCATTAACAAAATCTTCGACAGACTGAATCGAAGACAGCGACTTTGAAAGGAGTCTAGCTGCCCACGGTGATGCGATTTTGACGTTCCCAGCCGTCACCGTGCGAAAGCACATTGCCTGTTGCTCTGTCCTTCTGCGCGGCGACCTTGACCGTGGCTCATGGCAGTGCATCAACCAAACGGTGGGAACGGGGTCACGCTGCCTTGTAAGATAAGCTATCCGAAACACGCGAACCCAACTCGGCCGAAGCCTTTGCGCCATGCTGTGGAAGTGGGGTGGGGGAGGAGTATAAAAGGCTGAGGGGTGCTTTCGGCTGACAACGGTCAGTGTCCAGGGCGATGGGCCAGCAATTAGTTGGGTAGGGTGGCATGGGGGGCTTGATCGGTAGTAGGCAAGTGGTTGGTACGTGGGCAGGTAACCGCCAGGCAGGCGCCACCTGCGATCATCCCCGAGATGCTGCAGACCTTCTACGGACAACCTACGCGTGATTGAAGTCATGTTTTCCGCGGAGTCTAAACATAAATAAATCAACAAATACATATATATATATATGTATATACATACACATGTGTACATATATATGTACATACATATGGACTTATGGAAGTATGTGTGTGTACATACGTATGTTTTTGTTTATGTATCTATTTATGAATATAGATATATACATACATTTAAGAAAAGATGTATTTGGGGTGCGGACAAAAGTATGACATTCTATCAGAACTTGACACTGCTTTGAGCAGAATGGGACAGCGGCAGAAGTCAGGCATGGCTACTCCCTCGACACAACTTCGAATGCATGACAACGAGTTACCCGCGCGGAAACATGCGATAGAAGTCCTTAATTTATGCCTCAAGCCCGTCATAACCGCCAGATGTACACCGCTTGCCTTGAGCCCGAGCTTCTGGTACTCCCTCATGTCTTCTGCGTCCGACACGAACCAAACCGGTTCCACCCCTTCCTTCCTCACAGGCGACGCCGGAAGAAGTGTGATCCCGACCACATGGCTGACAACTGCTATTGCCCCCTCAGACAACATGAAGGCCGCCCAAGACACAAGAAATGAGCTTGCACGAGCGCGATATCCTGGGAGAGGTGGTGGCGAAATCACACACGGGCTGACATGATGCCGGAAACGTAAAATCCGGAGCCAGTTGTCTATCCATTTCAGGTCGTGTCTTTGGCATGAGTGGCAACCCTTACCTTACTTTCCTAAGTCCGACTCCACCATGGAAATGTCCTGTATGCACTCATCCTGTTTCGCGCGCCGTGTGGAGATCACGGAGAAAAGAAAGTCGTCTTTGCTGGGGATGGCCGCCTGCTCCTGAAGCACAGTTGCGCAGCAGGCGTTCCGGTGATTCACGTGCAGGTGGCACTGAGACATGTCCCGTCCTTTTCAGAAAGAAAGCTGCGCAGCTCTTCGATGCTGATGGTTTCGAGCTGGTGTTGCACAAGCCTCATCTGCATGGCAGCTGGAATCAACCATGGCCAAACGACTGCATCAACTTCATTGCACTGATCTTAACAGGAAGAGGCAGTTCTTCTGATCTGTTCCGGGCAAGACGAAGAAGTGACCGCAAGGGCTGTTTGATCCCAAGGAACTCCACTGGACCGATGGACCGCAGTCGGCCAGAAGCCGCTGCTATACCCTCATGCTGCCCACAGCGCCCTAATATGTCCTGCCGTCGCATCGGTTCTGAATCGGCAAAGAAGGCGTCTGTCGGAGCTCACATGCGTGCACACCGTAAACAGTGCATGGCATATCCAGCTCAAGTTTGGAGACCTGCCACAGAGTGAACTGTCGACAGCCACTGAAGGGATGGAGGCGCACGAAGCGTCCACGAAGGATGTCGACGAGTCGAGGCTCTGCTGCAGGCCCACACAATGCACAGAGCGCCGCAAGGAGCTGGAAGAAATATCTCGGCGAGATTGAAGTCGAAGCGGCGACAGTGGACGCGTGGCAGCTCAATGACCACGAAGCATGCCCCTCAGCCTGCCCTGGTCGAAGTCACCAAACGACACTCAAGCAAGAACTTTAGCTCACCGTGCAATGCACCCCGCGTATCCACCCCGTGGCTTGCCAATGGTCTACATCTACCCGCTATCAGTCGCCACAGTGCCTGCAAACAAAACTTATGGCAGGCCAGCTTCCGAAACCCCGAGATCCACAAGAGTTAAGAATCGCTCCAGGGCACATTCTAGTTTTCTATTGCCCAGCAGCTACAGCGATGGAAACCCAAACCCAGTGTGCTTCTTCTTTCTTTTCCTACAATCATATCCCTACAATCCCACAAAGGGGGTTAGAGCGGGAGATGCACAAGCTTCGCCCAGCAGCTTGCGGTAGCCGTTGAAGCCGTCGCGGACACCCAGAGAACGTCCCACGTGCTGCTCTACGCTTTGCCTTTGCAGAGAAGGATCAATTGCCACGGGTTCGGGTTCATAGGGTTTAGGGTTTAGGGTTTAGGGCAGTGGTTCTATCGTGCAGGCCGTGCAGGGTTTGACGGGGCGAGACTGTCAGCATTTGCGGTGCTCAGGGCTCGGGGGCTCAGCACTGGTCAAGGCTAATTCCGGAAATGTGTGCAAATCAGGTTCTTGCCGCTGTATGTAAAATATCAGGGTGTCTGGGCATAATTTGCTACCATGCCACATGGCACAAGTTTCATAGTGAGGGAGGGAATCTTCCCGCAGAATCTGCAAGAGGGCTTCGGGATTTCGGGATGCAGATGGAGCTGGGGTTTCAAAGGAGTGCGAACCAAATACGCGGATTCGCAGAATAAGCCTCTGAAGGATTCACAGCCAACCCGGAATCTGAAATTCAGGGCCAGGTAACAGATGAAAACCCCACATCACGTACTCTTGAACAAGCCCCTTATCAGTCCACTTTGTTGTCGGTTTTAAGGGGTTTGTAAGCTCTTCTGACAAGGATGTCGGGGTTCCTTGGTCATGGACTGCGCCTTTGGTGACGCGTCCACGGTGTCGAGCCCGAAAGAGAAGAGAAAGGGAAGTGTGGAAGATTGCCGGAATGTTGGAAGAGATTCAACAAGTCGACTTCCCTTGGTGGGCCCCAACAGTTTGGGCTTGAGGCACAAATCCCGCAAAACGTGCCTTATTGGCAACGAAGACGGGGGGGGGGTACAAAATTGGAGAACTTCGAAGTGTACCACACCGATCTCTTTTTGGGGAGAAATCGCTGGTGCAATCAAAGTGGTTGCTTTGGTTAGGATGCCGTATCAAGGGGCCAAGCGTATCGCGTGGATTCTGGCCACGTACTCAAGGCTTACTCCCCCCCCCCCCCCGGAAAAGATTGCGATCATGACTTCTCTGGCGATGTTTTGCGCGTAGAAGTGGCCAGATGTATGTGTGTAGTTCAACGATGGTTTGCGCATAGCTTTGGGTTTACATTTTGCTGGAAGATGAAAGCACAACTACCCATGACCACAAAGCAAGCATCGGTGGCCTCCGAACTGGAAACGGTAGTGTATCGTTCGCCAACAGCTGCGATGCACCAACAGTTGCAACTTGAACTTGCCCCTCCCTCACCCGACAAGTTTCACAATTCTCTGGCCTATGCATGCTTCAGCAGCTTTCAACGACTGACTAATGCCCCTACTCCACAATATGGGCAAAGTGCTTGTCGTGGTAGGCATGGCCATCAGAAGAGACAAAGACCTGAGGTCTGCAGAAGTGCTTGCATGCCACAGATCGGCCTGGACGACTGGAACTTATCGAAGTATTCCAAGGACCTGTAAAGACATTGAGGCAAACCCCCAACAAAACCAAGACCCTTAAGAAAGGGCTTCAACAAACGACCTCATCCTGAACTTCATCCCCTCTTGCTCTGGTCTTTTGCTTCAGGGTATAGGGTCTTCATGCACCGGCATTCACGCCGCCCCCCCCCCCCCCCCCCCCCCCCCCGCCCTCCTCGCTTGCATGGTATCACCCCCCCCCCCCCCCCCCCCCACTCATTTTTGTACTTGTTTTTCGGGTTTTTGGGTTTAGGCCGCGGAGCGCCGACGCATTTAGGGCCTGACTTTCTGAGACACTGCTGCTTAGCTTCTGGCGAGCCAGTCGTCTGCCGCCACTTGCATGTTTTGATTCTTGATTTCTCTTTAGATTCCCTTCACAAATGGTCATGGCGAGACCGAGCATCTTCTCATCCATCTTCTCATTCCACTTATAACTCGTCCTGCATAACACCACCTCTCCACAGCGAATTAGGTGCAATTATAGTACAATAAACATCTTTGCTTCCATCCGCGTCGCCATCTGCTGTGAGGTCTGCCACTCAATCATATCGTATGTATCTTATGGAAGGGATTTTTTGCTAGGTTCTCTCTTCGTTGGCCAAAGCACGCAAGCAAAACTCCTTCCCATGTAAGAACCCGCCACGAACAAAAAACAACAGCGAAGTGCCAAGACATAGCTCCAGGCGGCTCGATACATGCCTCCTGGGCCTGTGAGGCCCTGTCCCCAGTCGTCTGGGAGCCAGCCCAGGCGTCTTGAGTCCACTGTGATCTGCAAGACATGCAAACGATGATGAAGCTGAGTTGGGGTGGGGGCGCGGGGGGGGGGGGGGGGAGGCAGGGGGACGTTCAAGAGTTTCAAGAGGAATGCTTGGGCATCAGGGGCTCATGGGATGTAGACACCAGTTGTGGAGCCGACAAGCTGGATCAACGACATCGCCCTGCCCTAACATGCTCACACTGACATCGTCCACCTCTGCGCCGTTTTTCATCTTCCATTGTTCCGGCGGCACTTTCCTCAGCTGCAGGACGAACACGGTAAATACAGCTGTTCTGAGGCCCACCACCAAATCTCTGAGCTTCTCAGAGCTTAGGTGACTCTGGGGATAGCCATCGCCGAGCATCGTTGGAACGAGCGGCGCGCCAAGCGGTGGCGCGCGCTCTCCAGCCATGGCTCACAACTTCTCGTCACCGGGATAAGAGAGGTGGCGCTTTGTTTGTATGGCTTCTGTTGGTGGTGTCGGGCTGTCACTGGTCATTCTTGGCTGTTGTTAGAGCCGTGGGTCTTCTTGTTGCACCAGGCAGAGTTGGTTGTGAGGCTACCATGAGCCTGCACGGCAAAACAAGGTTTTGGAGGTTTTGTTGAGACCTCGGGGTTGTCTGCCCATGCCACAACCAAGGTTTGAGTTTGACAGGTTTGCGCGTATAGGGAGATGCTGAAAGCCCGAACGCATGACAAGCAAAGTGTGGCGGCAAGCGTTTCTCACTGGTCCGTTCAGCAATCATTTGAGGGACCGACTCTTATGATGCCTCTGAACCGATTCATAAAACTTGTTGCTTGAGCAAAGGTCCTCCTCCTCCTCGGTGCCAAGGTCATCCTCCGTCTCTGACTCCGACCCCTCCTCGTCCTGCTTTGGCGTAGGCCCTCTGCCATTGTTCTATAAGTTCTATACGTACGATGCCTGAATGATTTATTGGGGAAGTGGAGATCGACACTCTGGCAGATCCGAAACAGTTGGAGCAATGTGGTTGCAGAAGCATTGTGCCAGCAGGGGGGGAGCACTTCCACACCTTCAAGAAAAATTACAACAGCAAAGAGCCAACCCTTGTCAATGCATCCACAAGCTGCAAGATCACACATGCTCCGCGTATGAACAAACAGCATACATCCGTGTCCCCCCGACTCCCCCCCCCCTCTCACGTTCTGACTGCTGTTTCAAAGGCCTATGGGCCCCTAGGCCCTCAGATTCCCACAGTCCATGCAGCAAGACGCCTCGTACGGCCACTTGGCACGTATAAGGCGCTTCCGGAGTGCGAGCTCCTGGGCGAGAGCCCCGACGGTTCTTTAGCTTGTGCCTTGAGCGACCTAGTTCTTGTGTCCTTAGGACTATTAGCTCCCTGGAGCTGGAAGTATCTGGAATTACGAATGGCCGAACATCGCAACTTCGGTTTGTCGCATCTGGTCTGCAGCAGCTCAACGAGGACAATAGCACGAAGCACAACTCAAAGTGCTTCTGTAAGCTCGTTGCAACCGCGAGCCTCGAGATCTTTGATTCAAAAGCATGCTTGGAGTTCTCGTGAGTGTTGAAAGAGTTTGATCGATGTATATCTACGTACATCCTTTCGAAACGGTTGGATTGGTGGGACTTGGAGGCTGCACCCATGGAGCAAGAGAATCCGAAGTTTCCTCATGAAACCGGCAAGGATGCAGGAAGTAATTTCAGTCTGATTGTTTTAAGGCCAGAATCTTCCGACTCGGGAGGAGGGGGGGAGGGGGGATGGGGGGAGGGGGAGGGGGGAGGGGGGGAGGGTCAGAGGCAGGCTCATATCTAGGGCAGCTCAAGCTATTCACCAGGATGTCGCGGCGTCGCATTGGAGGTCAGCTTGCAAATCCTTATCCTGCCTCATCGAGAAAAAAGTTTGGTCGCAGCAATGACCTCCAATGTCCAGCCCTATAAGGGTTAAACCGACTAATTAAGCCACTTTTGATATGCCTTTGAACGGCAGGATGTACTTCCCTCTCTGGCGTGTAAACGCCAAGCGCTCGGTCTGCTCTCTGAGCTATCCGCAAGGCCAGAGCGTAGCTGCCGCGCATGGCCCCACAGAAGCAGGCCGTACGCTGCGATCCAGAAGCCCGGGGCAAAGTTCCTTTCGGCCGAAAAAAGCTGAAGAGCATGGTTGACGGCTTCCTGTTGCCACGCCCTGCACATCTTGATTTTGAAGGGCCTGGAGCAGCAAAGTGAACCCCCAATTCCCGCTATGGACGTTATGGGCTCGACCCTTTCATGTGATTTCCCTTGTTGTCGACATGAGTAGAGTTCATTCGGCTGGGGCACCTTCTCCACCCAGTAACTCGGGCAGAGAGCAATCTCGGAAATTATCAAAACGGCTCGGGCCTGCTGGAGACCTCGCGGCTCACAGCTGCTGCCATGGTAATCAGGTCCTGCTCGACTGGCGATGAAAGACGAGGTGTCCGTCTGTCGGAAGAGTATGCGACCGCACGGGTGCCCAGGCTCTGCGGCTCCTTGGCACAGCCGATTGCGCTGCAAAGCCGAAGGTGAAGGTATGCCTGTCGGCAGTCTGTCGGGCAACAACACAAGCCTGACACAAGCAGCAGCAATAACCCAGCTGCTCTAGGAGCTCTGCCCAGCGACGTGTCGCAAATTGAAGGCCAAAGTCACCACAATGCTACACATGCCTGCGTCGACTGCCTGGCACAGGATTCTCATTGAACAAGCTTCATGCGCCCAATGAATGCGTACAATTCAGCCTAAGGGCAACCGCATGCGCTGCACACCCCTCATCCGTCCGTGACTTCAGCTGAGGATGCAAAAAGCGGCGCGACATCGCCTTCTCTTGAACCACCGGATCTCATCTTCTGGGAGGAGCTCGGCCTTTTGTTTGCTATTAATGTCGTGCTCTCTTGGAGTGGAGGTGTTTCAAGCGAAGCGAAGTGTCTCAGGCGAAGTTTTACCCCAGGGCCCATCATGCTGACGAACCGTGCATGGAGAGCGTAACACACGGCTAATTATGCTACCTAGTTCGGGAATGCTCCGCATTGCGCTTGTTTGCCCTGTGGCCATGTGTACACAAATTACACCAGGCATTGGACGCGATGCAAGCCGCCTGGTCCTCTGGAGCGTCGTAGGCTTCGAGCCCGACGCGCCCACGCCGGACCCTCAGAGCTCCCCCGTGGCTCCAACAAAGGATCCAAAGTTCAAATCGGCGAACTATAGGCTCTGCACCACAAAGCCACGTGTCAAGATCTTCAAAAGCGGGATTCTGAGAGGGCTCTCTGAATGCACGGCTACGACACTGGCATCCTTCAACCTGAACCATGAAGCCTTAAGAAGGCTTCAGGCATCCCCCCACCCCTCCCCCAAATCCCCGAAACCTCAACCCTCTTTGCAACCAGGAACTCTTTCGCAGCAGCCTGAAACCCACTAACCGCCCCCCTCAGCCATGGACCGTACTTAAACCCCAAAGCCTCAAGACAAAAAACAAAGCTCCAAAAGCCCTAAAAACCTTCAATGCTGCATGGGCCCTACATAAGCCTCTGACTCCTCCTTCTGCCAGCTTTTGAGCCAAGGTGCTCTGGTCCTGGCTCCCAGCGGAGCTCTTCCGCTTTCTCCGTGAGCGTCTCAAGCTCTGGCGCAGAAAAGCGGGCTCGAAGGGGCGACTCTGGGGTGGGTTTTAGGGTCTTTTAAGGCTTGTGCGTTTTTGATTATTCATAAATTGAGGCTGAGGGATTGAAGCTGCCGGAGCCGGAAAAACGCCGCTGCGCTTCTCTTGAAGCCTGGTGCCTGTCGCATTCAGCGATTCGGCCTTCTGGAGCCTTCTGCATGAGTGCTATGGCCAGCTTCTCCTTTGTCTCATCGAAGACCTGCGATGTAAGGGGCCATTTCCCAATGTCAGTTTCCCAGGAAGGAAACCTGAAATTCGTGAGATAATTTCCAGGTGAGCTCGAACCAGGCTCGAACAATGGCAGGTGCCTTCTGGAAGGGCGCCTGCCAGGGAGGTCTATCTTTGCTGGCGGCCTGCACGCTTCAAGAAGCTGGATCGAGGGAATGCAGCTTAGAGCTTTGCAGGTCTTCCATAGGACTTCGGGATTGGTATCTTCCTGGGTCTTTGCTGCTATGTTGCGCTCACGATGTGAGTGTAGCTGCCTTTCGTCACTTCGGCTACTGCGAAAGCATCGGCCAAGCTTGCTCCCAGAAGTACTGACTGGCATCTTCCCGCTGCACTAAACGCCGCGCTGCCCATCCCGACAGTCGCTCACACCCATACCTTCCCAGCATAAAGGCCACTGAATCCAGGATGAAACCATGCACAGATCCAGAACCCTTATCAAAGGGACTTGAGGAGTAACGCAACAGGCAATAGACATCAACACCATGCAATAGAACAGAGACCACGTGGACCTGAAATTCTGCTTGGCCTTGCCGGTAGATGTTTGAGAAAGTGCTTCCGCCGACGACGACATCTGAGGCCAGGAGTTTCGTGTCTTGGAGCTATGGCTATGGGTGCATTCGCACAATGACTATGTCACATTGCCAGTCTAAACACAGATTTCTGCAATCAGTTCTATTGGCACGGAGAATGCGGAAACCAAGCTTGCAAGCCAAGCTGTCAGGTTTCGATTGGTCTGCGAAAGTCTTGGCTTCAGGAGGCCTGCGCGGCGACATAGCGCAACAGGTCCTGGGTCGCCGAGATCGACTTCGGTTGCCCCAATACCCCGACAAGCGGAATGAAGCAGATGCGCCCAAAGGACGTGCTCGTGAAGTAGGGCTCCCAAAAAAAGAACACCTGAGTACGCGCACGAATATGTGTAAGAAGCGCTATAAGGAACGCGATGCACTCAACAAAATCAGCAACATAGACCCTCACATAGGTGCATCGAAGACTATCGTTGAAGCACGCCACGGAATCGGGTGACAATCCAACAATAACATCCTCGAGTCTAGAACGACAACCCAAAACTTATGGACGCTGAAGCGACACGCTTGTTTGCTCGAGTCTTCTGGCCCAGAGTCCCAAATTCGGGCACTTAATCCGCCGAGGCCTACTGTAGGTGTTCGGGGAGCACAGATTCGGGGAGCACAGATTCCACCACTTCATTTTGCACCTTTTTGCCTGGAATGGGTACTCCCCTGGCGTAGAGGTGTGCGGGATCAGGACCAGGGGGAAATTTGGGCCTGACTCACCTCCACTTGCCTGCCTGCCTTGTCCTTGCTTGTGTTGCGCTACGACAGGGTGGCCAATTGTTGGGCCAAAAGGGAATGATTGCACGCCTCCTCTCAAAGCACGGAAGCCTAACAGCACGTTCTCACCCGCGCTGGGCAAGCCCCGGCCAAGGCTCGCGTAGCGTTATTTTTCAACCTTCTCACAACGGCTGTGGGATGTGAATCATGCGGTAAGGTGTAAACCTACTTGTAGTCACAGGACACGGTCT